TTGCTCCAGTACTTTCGGATCCAGTAATGGCGATGGAGTAAGTAATGGATTGAACGTCACGACTGAACTGACGATTAGTATAATTCCGTCCTTGCGCATATCCCATCTGAGGCTTACCTTTGCTTTTCTCCTGCGTAAGACTGAAGGACAAGTCTCCTCGAGAAGCCGAAGATTGCGAAGAAGAGGTTGACGTCATTGGTCTTGTGGGGAGTCTGAGCGGCTTCTTACGCGTCAAGTCGCTCGCCATTGCAGTCTTTAGCAGTCCTGTAGGCCCAGATACCTCCTGAAATCTGGTCCTTGAATGGTCGACAGTGCGGTTGGAGAGACATGCAAGTGTCCTGCACCTCGTGCCCCGCATCTCCCTCATCTGGCAATTGCGCGGGGTCGCCTCTCTGTGCAGCAACCACTTCTATAGCGATTAGGCAGTTTCCCTTATCAGGATATGATTGGTGACAGATCACCTTTGTCAGACGGATTGTAGCACGATGCATATGATGCTAACGTCTTCTCTTCGCCTTTTCTTCGTCTGTTTCATCGATCGTGGTTGCTCGCAATGATCAAGACTTACTTACCACCCGACCCGGTCACGGTGGCGGCAAAATATGCAATAGTTGGAAGCTTCTTATATGTATGTTCGAAGTCCTTCCGAAGGGTGTCGCTCATCGTGGTCAAGGTTATTGCTCTGTGTATCTATCGCATCTACTTCCATCCTCTTGCAAAATACCCAGGTCCATTGAGCTACAAGCTCAGCGGCTGGCCACTACTATGGCAAGCTTACACAGGCGATCGACATATCTGGCATCTCAAGGATCACGAGAAATACGGTAAGAGCTTGAACCGCATTTGAACTTGATTTCAGCGAAAACGTTCTTACCGCACTAAGGTCCGATTGTTCGCATCGCGCCAAACACTCTTTCTTTCAACACAGCATCTGCACTGAGCACAATCTATGGCCCGAGATCTGCTAATGTTGAGAAAGGCGACTGGTACAATACATTTGACGTCGCAGCCGGCACTTACAGTAGCTTCACCGAAACTGATCGCGAGAAGCATGCCGTCAGAAGAAGATGGATGAGTCCCGCTTTCTCGGCCGAATCGATGAAAGTCAACGAATCGCGCGTCGTTGATGTCATTGAGCGTTTCTGCGAGACTATGAAGCCGAAAGGTGCGGGCTGGGGCGAGAGGTGGAATGCGAGCGAGATGAGTACGTACCTGGGTTTTGATATCATGGGAGCGTTGGTGTTTGGATGTGATTTCCGGACTGTGCAGGAGGAGGGGAATAGGAATTTGGCGGATTCGGTGTTGCCGGCGAGTATGCTGATGTATTGGGTATGGTACATTTTCGTACTTCAAATCAAGCTTCGGGGAATGCTAATGGTCTTCAAGGTGTCTTATCTTCCCTTGGCTTTTCTGGTCCGACCACTTCTACGTACAAGCTTCTTTGAGATTATAGGTGGCAAGTCAGTGCAAGATAACAATCGTTTGATCGACTACGCGCACAGTCAAGCTCAGACTCGAGTCGCCGAGCTGAAGTCAGAGAAACGAGCAGAGAGTGGAAGGATCGATTTCTTGTCCCACATAGTTGACGCCGAGGACAAGAAGACCGGTCTTCGGCCAACACTCGCAGATCTCGGCACCGAAGGACTAAACATGATCAATGCTGGCGCAGATCCGTTCAGCAGCGTGCTTGCAAGCGCAATATTCTACCTCGTACATAATCCCACAGCTCTACAAAAGGCCACCGAAGAAGTTCGGCAAGTCTACTCCTTAGAACTTAATACTCTTCTACTAACACCTCCACAGCACGACATTCTCCTGCCCATCCGAAATTATCAGCGGCCCTGAGCTGAACTCCTGTACTTATCTCTACGCCTGTATCGAAGAAACCCTCCGCCGCACCGCCCCCGTACCTAGCCATCTCCCGCGCATCATCCTCCCAGGTGGCATGACAATCGACAACCAGCACTTCCCCACTGGCACCGTCGTCGGCGTGCCAATGTACGCCATCCACCACTCGCCCGACTACTTTCCCTCGCCATTCACTTTCCAGCCCGAGCGCTGGCTTGACTCCGCCTCGAACCCAGCTGAGCAGATCGCACTTGCGCGCAAGGCGTTTAATCCGTTTAGCATTGGAATGAGGCAGTGCAGTGGACGGAATTTGGCGTATTTGCAGCTGAAGTTGACACTGGCGCATCTTTTGTGGAGATTTGATGTGCAGGAGGCGGAGGACGAGAAGGGGAGGGGTGGTGGTGGTGAGAGATTGGGAGTGGGGAGGGAGAGGGGGGATGAGTTTCAGATGTGGGATGCGTTGGGGTTTGGCAGAGATGGGCCGATGGTGGAGGTTAGGTCGAGAGAGGGGATACATCCGGGTGGTATGTGAGGGTGAGTGGAAAGTGTTGTCCTTACTTCAGCAGTCGAAGAAATTTCTGTCTCTCTGTCTGTGAGAGTAATTCTGAAAGGTGATACGTTATGATTCGTCGCGCTGACAGACCGTGCGTTCTCAAACGGTCCAGCATCGGGGTATATCAAGCATACATTCACTCTTCGCTGCAGAAGGCCTCCGATCCTAACTTTGTGCCACTACGAAGCTTCTTCTACATCTTGCTCATTCCATCTCAGAAATTCAAGCATAGCTCTGACAACACTCAGCCCCGCGCCCTGCGTCTCCACCGTCCTGCCCCTTCCCCTATCATTCAAGTCTCCAAACACAACCGTCTGATCGTCCACATGACCATGCTCCTCGATATACTTCTCGCCTTCGGGCACAATATCCAACTGCGCAAGCAATCTCGGAACATTGCGATAATCGATCGAGCCAGGTATAACCTTTATCTGGATCAACTCAGACCTGAACAGCGCACCCCACCACCCCCCGAACATGCCCCTTTCGTCCCTCGTGCGCAACGCTGCCTGTGCGTTATGAACCACCCACTCCGCGTACCCAGCACATTTCTCCATATGCATATTCCCGACCTCTTTACTCGCCGCATACGTAGCTCCCTCCTTCACAGCCTTGCGCGGCAACGGCTCGCAGAACGCTGTAAGGTGATGAAAGAATATCCCCTTGAAGCTCTGTCCATCTTGATTACACGATCCAGAAGGATCACATCTTTCCATTAATATACCACCGTACCCTAGACCCCTCCACTGCCCTTTCTCCTCCTTCTTCCAGCCCGTAGCCCGCACAACGTTCCCTACCAATTCGTGCCCGTGTGCTAGGTATGTCGTATTACCTGTGGCTTCCCACAATGCCCGAAGTCCGCTTAAAATCACGCCTTGGTTGTACGTATACACCATTTCATTTCGCTCATTGCATTCCGTTGCGCTGCGATTCGTGCGGTAGTCTCGGATGTGAAAGCCGTCGGTATACAAGCCTTGATCGTTCAATATGCCACTGTTGTACAGCCAGTTGTATCCATTCACTGCGGCGGCTCGGAAGAGAGGATTGTATGGACCTCTATCATTTCCCTCTCGCTCATCTTGGGCACAACCTGGAACGGTCGGAGTGGAAGGATTGGTCTCCGTGAGGCATGTTTTGGAGATGTCCTGCGCGGAGACAAACGGGCTTTCATTCTCATCCCCCGGGAAATGCAGATACATGCCAATACTAGCCGAGATGAATAGTTGATTCGTGATAGCATTCTTGTACGGCAAGAGTCGGGGGTTCCAAGTCATGCCGCCGCCGCAGAGACGCCAGTCCCAGCCTTGTTCGGCGAGTTCGTAGAATACGCGTGCGCGGTGTGCGAAGGCGGGGATGAATTGCTGCGCATGCCACCCTACGTTTCCGGAATTTCGTGATCTATGATGTAGGGACGAATGCGATTTGATGAAGTTGATGCTTCCCAGCCAGCCCAGGACGACCCACAACATGTCGTCGAAGGCTTGCAGACGGATAGCGAAGGCTTCTTCGCCATAGTAGAATGCGGTGGTTTGGGCGAAGTATTTGTTGATTTCGTTTTCGATGCCTTGTGTGTTGGTATTGGTTTCGAAGTTATAGTCGTGTGCTCTAGTTATGTTGTAATTATACGAGCGTGATATGGATGAAAGTGAGGCTGATATGTATGTGCCTGTGACGGCTGCTGTCCAGTCTATTGCAGTTGTCCATTTGCCGAGCCAGAGCGAGAAGTATCCATCTTGCATGAGGGACAAGGCATGACGAAGATCGTGGAGCGTATCCTCGGTGGTTAAGTGTTGTCTACCGCTTGGATGTAGTTGGGACGACCCAGGATCCGCTATGGTAGGATTGTCTGGCTGCACCCGGTGCAGCGCGTTTTGATTTCCGACCTCATAAGCCAATATGATGTCTAGGCGCTATCAGTATATGCTGGAAAGGCAGTGCGGAGTGCTAGAGTACCATCCAAATCATGCTGTTCATGGGTACCAAGTAAAGATGAAGCGAGCGTGCCAAACAGCAGAAGGACTGCCAAAACCGTGTACCTCGAGGACACCATCTTGTGGTTAAGACTGATTCTCAATACCAGATCCTCTCATTCCCCACGTAGACGACAAGCAAGTGCGGTACCGATGAGAGCTTTAACGCATGGATTCCGCCAAACGGTAGCTCGGGATTCCAACGGCACAAAGGCCCTGACGAGGCGACAAAGGAGAAGTGCTAAAAATGAGGGAAGTTCGCAGCAAAGACGGAAGCATAGCTCGAATGATGAGCCGCAGCTGGATTAACGGAGCGCGTCCAAGAGCTGGCCAAGCTCATGATCGGTGTTGATTTTACTCCTCCAATGGGCACGCATTTGCAAAACCAGGGATCCGTCCCTCTTAGCAGGTAAGCGCACCGCGTGTAACAGAGAGTAACGATGGTGCCTCAAAGTCGCACTTCCCTCCCCTCGAGCTCGCGCACAGACCCAACCTTATCTCCGTCCCCGCCCCGCGCTCGCGTGGCTCGCACGTTGCCCCGCCACGCACAACCGTGTAGCCAAAAAAAAAAGACACAACCACGCCAAACACCACACCCTAATACGGATCATTCAAGAGCAAAAACATAATGAATGGAGTGGGATTCGAACCCACGCTACTTTCGTAACTAGCAATATCCACCTGAAGCTAGCGCCTTAGACCGCTCGGCCATCCATCCCCGAATGATGTATCCAATTTCTTATATTGAATTGTTATATATAGTACAAAATTCAACAAGGAGATGCAAAGCGTAAGCTCGCCGCGGTTCTGATTCTCAGCCAATGTGAATGTCGCAGGACCAGTCATCAGTACGAGTCCAATGGACTTCACTGCCAGGATTGGGCTACACTAAGTGGGGTCACACGCCGACGAGAAGAGATTGCTGCTTCCCGCACGGTAGCAGGCTTGGCTCGCAACTTTGAATGTCATGCATCCAACGTATATCAGATGCTGAGTGATCTTGTCGAACTGTGACAGAATTAGCTCTATATACACCACATCTTGTCGTCTCTGGTGGGGCTCAGCTGAAGGCTCTCGCGGATACTATTAGGGTTAGCGACAACTTTACAAGGTAGTGAAGGCCTCATAGCACCTGCATTCAGTCCATAGTCATTACTCTAGAATTTCGCGCATACTTTCACGAAGTCCCTATCGATATATCTAGGAAACGACGCTAAGGTGTCCCACCAGAGCTACGATGTGCAGTACGGCCGGCATTTCGATATGTGTAGCTGTAAAGAGGTTCGGCTTGATAAATTTTGCTCTCGAGCCGATACACGTCTGCAGTAAACGAATGAGCATGATAATATCCACAATGGCGGTTGATGCTTTGATTCTGCTTATATTATGGGGTGCCGCCAGGATTAATTCTGAAGGCTTCGTGAAGTTTCGATCGTAGGCCGACATCAAGTCTGCGTCTTCATTCATCCACTCATGAAGAACAACCCTACAGCCAGGCCCATTGCTCTGTAGCCCTCCATATTCCTCTCTCACTCGACTACATGATCCCCAACTCCCCAAACCCCTTGACAACGTCCTTATCTACCCTCTCCAGCCACTCCTCCTGAAACCTCTGCTCCCCACCACACTTCTGCACCGCCTGCTGCAAATGCTCACGTATGAACGCCACAAGATTGATCTGATGCACCGGATCGCTGTACATGAGTTCGCGTTTGCGCACGTCCTCCGGAGACTCGGGCTCGGTCTGGTGGTAGGGCTCTGGAGGCCAGAAGAGAGAGCTACGCAACGTCAGTCATACCTCGATGAAAAATATGTGGGGAAGGGACGGGATAGGAGGATACATACTCCACTCTCCGATCATCCATGCCATCTAGAAGTTCGCCGAGGACGTCTGTCCACACACCCATCAAGCTCTGCAATTTACCCAGCATCCACTCGCCCTCCTCCAAGAAGCGCGTCAGGACGAGACACATGAGTTTCTTGTTCGGTGCATCGCCAATGTTCTCAATATGTGAGAACCACTCTTCCAACAGCCAATCCGTCGTCTTTACCAGCGGCTCGTTGGTAACGTTGGGTAGCGCGGATAGCAGTGTTGATGGCGACGCCAGGCCAATGCGCGCGAGGACGGTGAAGTAGTCTGTTTCTACGACGCCATCAACGGCACGGGAAGGGAGTTCGCGGTAGGGGCCGTGGGATTGGTGGTGTGTGTATGCGCCGTGCAAGCCTTCGAGGACTTTTGCCAGGAAGCCGGTGGAGATCAGGTCCTGGGTCAGGACTTTGACGGCTTGTTCGCCACCGACGCCTTCTGCGCCGCGGATGATGCACTGCACGAGATGTGTCATTATGCCGTTTGCTTCGGGTTTGAGCGATCCTTGAAGCTCAGCGAGTGCTTGCAGGATCGCGGGGCGGAAGTTGTCTGCTAGCACTGCAGCTGGTGCGAGCAAAAGGTAAGCTTCAGTGATCTCGATTGCTTTTCTGAGTGTATCGTTGTCCATTGTAAAGAGTGGTAGCAAGTACTGGAGGAGGTTGAGCAGTTCCGGAGGGGTGGGTTCTGGAGATGATGGTGTTTGCGCTATGATGGAAGACCATAGATCGAGGGCATCTTCGAGAAGGTAGACTTGCGTTTCGGACCCTGGTTCGATGGCGGACTGGATGATGGGCAGGAAGGAGACGTGGAAGGAGCGCGAATCTGCCTTCATGGCGTTTGTCAATCGAGACAGCATTGTGAGGATAGCCTGCTTCATGAGATGCTCGTCGCCGGACTGTTCCCATAGGGGTGGTAGGAGGGATATGATGGAGTTGGCGTACGGTGTGATCTGTGTTGGTCAGTGCCGAGCAGAGAAGAACAGTCAGTACTACTTACATTATGCTCGAGTCTCTCGACAACAATGCTGATGGTGTTCAGCAATGCCATCTTAGTCTCCGCAAGCTCAACCTCTTGTATCAGCGCCATCAGCCGGTCCAGCGTGACCGGCGCATATGGTAAGAAGTTATCGGCATGAAACTCCCACTCGTCTGCGACGTCCTTGAATTTCCGCCCAGCAGTCACTCGGACGACTTGATCATTGAGCGGATCATTCTTGTCCATCAAATGCTGAAAGATCTGGTAGACGATGGGTTTCTTCTCTTTTGCAATCTTGATTGCTATCCATTGCGAGATGATGATTGCAATGCGCCGGCGGATGATGTTGTAGCCCGGCTTTTGCTTGCTCACTTCAGCAACTAGGGTGTTTTCGAGGAAAGAGTCAAAGTCGACCTGATCGTGGAGTATGTCGGCAGCCAGACCGATGGCGGTGTACACAGAGTCCTTGAAAAGAACGTCTTCATTATCGGGTGCTGTGACATGTCAGCGAAGCGCATCGTGAGCGATGCTGGTACTCACTCGCAACTGTGTAGAAGACTTGGAGAAGAGGCTGGACGATCAAATCTTTGTAATTCTTTGCGAGATCTAAGAACAGCTTCTCGGCGCAAGGACGGATGGCGAACTCCCAGTCCTCGGCGCCCTCTTCCATTTTCTCCCATTCGTCGGGTTCCTCTTCCCACATGCGGAGATCGCTGGGCCGGAAGACAAAGAAGCGCGTTACAAGAGCTGACATCATTTCGCGAACAAGGTCATCAGTAAGAAGCTGTGTTTTGATCATCTGAGTTGCGTCGTTCTTCTCGTCCTTTTCCTGCTGTTGCTTGTATCGGAAAGTCTGTGTAGGGTAGAAGACCATTTTGACACATGCTCGTATTATCAGAAGGCCCTTCAATCCGAGTCGCTCTATTATGGGAGTCTCATCGTCAGCATCACCATCGGTACCTATTCTGGCGCCGTCGATCGACTTGGATCCCCAGGTCTCTCCTAACTTGGAGATCAGGCTCCAATAGTCGCGCACGAGGTCTAGCGTGTTCGGCAGGTGCACAAAGTCTGCTGGATGGGTAACGGCCATATTTAGATGGAGCTTAGATAGCTGCATCAAGTGCTTCTCGATCAGCCTTTGCACGCTGGATGCGAGTGGCGTATCCTCTGAGGCGACATATTGGAAAAAGTCTCCAAAGTGGCGGCGAGTCAGGGTCCAGAATTGCTGGACGTCCTTGTCCCTACCTGGGAAGTCATAGCCTGCGATCAAAAGCCGTCGAAGGATCTTTATGGCAAGCAAGCTGGTCTCGATACTGTCGATTGCACCGCCTTCGTCTTCGCCGCCATCGCGGAAGAAGGCTTGCCAGGTCTTTACTTTGTTCACATATATGGTGCCCAACACGTTGAGTATCTCCGGCGTGACGGTTTGTAGGTTCTGGCGTGTACGAAGCAAGCGGCCCGTCGAGAGCTCCTTGACGATGTAGAGTAGAACGAGGAGGGCTCGAGGGAGTTGGAGACGGTAGGCATTGGGGTCGGTCGAGGCGCGGAGGATCTGGAGCAGCTGCTGGAAGAGATCTGGCCTACACAGAGTCAGTCGCTATCAATACACATCATCATCAGACTTGCCAGTCGTTGGGAAACTCGAAGCGAACAATCTTCGCAACAACCAATGCGTTCTGCAGTGCCAGCCGCTGGTCTGCCTCATTGACCGCGCTCTCAAGGAGCCGGGATCTTATAGCACGTTTGTCTTCTTTGCTCACAGCGCTGTCATGGAGTCAGTGTAAAGTCATACAATTCCGCTTGTGGCTTTACTTCGTCGCAGTTTTGCGCCAATACTTCTCGATGCCGTTCTTGAGTTGGATGATGGCGAGGTAGCGTACTTCGATCGGAAGGGACTTGTCTAGGAAGACGGACTATACAAACATTAGCACCTCCGCTGACTGAGTGGCACCCTGCATACCTGAAGCAGTGGGTAGAAGCCTGATGCCTTTTCCCACTCCTGTAACTGCTTCGTCCCGGTTTGAATCTGCGTGGGGTTTGTCGACGATGCTGAGCGCAGGACATGGTATAGGATGCCCTCGGTCAGAGGATTGGCCTCACCAGGCACTTCTATGGCACTGAACTCCACGTTCATGTTGCGCGCTGTAGTGTGCCAGTGCGGCGGTGGTGGGGTATGTCTTGCCAAATTCAAAAGTTGCTCAGGGAAATCTTCAAAGTGTGCGCGCTCCTCAACTGGCAGCGCAGACAATGGTGAGCGTGAGAGGTCCTGCTCACCCAGGCCAAAGGTAAAATGAAGAAGCAGCGTGCATGAGACGCGTTCCAAAAAGTTCCCACGTGCGTCACACCGCGGGACCCTGGCGATCGCTGCTTCCCGTTTGGGTCAAGAGAAGGGTAGCCTGTGGCACGCGCATATTGCACTGCGCCGGTTACTCAGAAAATGCAAAAGACGTATCAGCACGTAGTTGTCTTATTAAGAATGTTGCATACAAAGGTATTCGATACCATGTCAGGTCCCAGAACGTATTCACATGCTCACCATGTTCAATGTTCTCTCCGCAAGCTCGCCTAAACCTGCCGCTCCTCCTCAATGCATAGCGACGTCGAACCTCGGCCCATCTATTCACGCAAACATCAGCCCATCGCTCTCGAGACACCCAATCGTCGCAATATAACACCATCGCCAGACCCGGACAATATCCTTTGATGTAGTCGTCGACGACCAATGCCCTCCGATGCCTGCAGCCGACTTCGCAGCCGCTCAAGAGCGCATCGCAGCCCGTCGCGCCCAACGCGCCGCCTCGCAACGCGCACACCATGATGCCTCCAAGCCCTCACGCACACGATCGCTCCTCCCATTCCCATTCCGCTCAGCATGG